TTCAAGTTTCCTCCTACCCCATCCCCTGCCCCCACCCCCTAATTCACAACCCCCACCCCCAGACCTCCCCTTCTCCACCCCGCAGCCCCCATGTCCTATAAAGCTTCTTTCAATTCAGTGATGCCCACAGGCTCCACTCCCCAAGTCCCGCCATGGCCCCCTGACCCCTCCCTGGGCAATGGACAACTCCCAGATCTCACCGCTCTCCGGCCAGTAGTAGCTGAGCAAGGCCAGTGCCCTGTGCTGCAGCCACTCCTCCAAGTCCAGTGGGAGGCACTCCCGCAGCAGTGCCAGATCCTGGGGGGCATGGAGGGGTGAGTCCCTGATGCCTGGGTTTCTTCCCACTTCCCCCCTCCCCCGCTAAGGGAGTGGGGGTTACCTGGCTTGGGGGCAGCAGCTCCTGCAGGTCAGAGACCTCCAGGCCGAGCAGGATGGGGCTGGCGGCGCAGGGCGCAGGGCCGAGGCCCACAATAAGTCTCAGCTCCCCCAACCGCAGGCACCGCTCCAGGGTCTCCAGAAACTGGGGGGTGGAGAGGAAGAAATGATTGAGAAGGGGATTATGAGGGGACAGGGGAGCGGACTGACCTTTAACCTGACACCCCCCCCACACACACACACACACACACACAGAATCCCCAAACTGGTTTCCTTCTAGAGGTGACATAAGTCAAGTGACACCCCCCCCCAGGATTCCCCTACCTGCCTTCCCTCTGGGGGCTGATGTGAGGGGGAGCAACCTTTGACCTTGAGCCCCTCTCCCACTCCTCCCCGGGGTTGACCTCCAAACCCCAGTCTCACCTTCTTGTCCCGGGGGGCAGAGCCGGTGTCCGCCTTCAAGAGCGCCTCCTGCAGAAGCCGGTGTAGGCACTCCCAGCGCAGCCAGGCTACCCGCTGCAGCTGCAGCTCCCTCTGCACCTGCAAAGGAGGGACCCATGGGGTCAGCTTTACCCTTATCTTGGGCTCCCCTTCCCCCACACCCAACCCCTGTACCTGCTGTAGTTGGCGGGCCAGGCCAGTGCTGAGTCCACTGGCATCCATGTGCCCAGCCAGACCCTGCAGCAGGGTGGCCAAGCCAGGGTTGGCCGTCAGGTCCTCCTCTGTCACCTGGCATGGGGGCAAGGAGGCACCACTGCTGCCTACAGGGAAGGAAGACAATGACAGACAATAAGAGGAGCCCCCTGCATATCCCGCCCCCCCTCAGCTCCCCTCCTGGTACCTTGCTGGGGCAGCTCACATCCCAGATCCCCCAAAGGCCCCCGAGCAGATGCCATCACTGCTGGACACAACCTGGGGGGCACAGAGAGGTGGGAGGTACAGCGCCGTTCTAAAGCAGGGTGGGGAGCTCGTGCCATCCCTGAGCCACCTATGGGAAAGGCATGCTATATGTCCCAGCTACAGGGGGGGGCCCAGGAAGCACTTTTTTGGGGGGGGTCATGACAACTAGGGGGGCTATAGTCACCCTAACAGTGTTGGTGTGAGAAGAGGGACCTTTGCCCTCCCCCCACAACTCACACCAATACAAGGCCAACGTCTGTCATTTCTGGGGGCGCCCAAGAGACAGGCACCCAATTCACAGCCTCCTAAGGGGTCCCAACAACTCTGGCCAGGTGCCAGCCAGCTGTGGGGGGGAGGGGGAACCCAGGGGGTGCCCCCCCTGCTCCCCAACAGGCATTGGGCACCAAACATGCCAATTTTAGTGAACTCCCCAGCTTATGGCACACTGAGCCCCCACCCTGCAACCAGCCATGCCAACCTGAGGGCAGCCTCCCCAGTCATGCCACGCTGAAGGTGACCCCCCCAGCCAGCTATGCCAAGCTGATGGCAATGCAGCCCTCACAGAGGTCGCACCAAGCTGAGATCAGCCCCCAGCCACTCACACCACCCCCACAGCCTCCCCAAGGCCCCTGGCTCCCAGATGCCATCTTGTTCACCCCTCAGCCCGGATCCCTCAGGGCACGCACCCAAGTCGCAGGAACCCAACACAACCACCCCGAGGGGGCGGACCGCCGCGAAAACAGGCCACGCCTGGAGCCCTCTCAGAGAGGAGCGCACGTGACGTTTGCGCCACTTCCCGCCTTTTTCACTCCTGGGGAAGGTGGTGGGCGGAGGAGGGGCGGGGCCGGGAAGCTCGAAGAGCCAATGGGAGAGGGGAGGGGGCGGGCAAGCAATGGGAAACCAGGAAGGGAAAGGCGGGACAGGGATAGAAGGGAGGAGGAGCTG